TCAAAATTTTCAAGACGGGCACATTTTTAAGTGGTTTTAATTTTTTGAGGACGGCACGTTTCGGTGAGATTATTAATTATCAAATCAGAGGAAAGAACAGATCACTGAAAGTGTAATTGTATATGACCTATGATTTCTGAAGAAAATTTTGAACAAATTTGTTTAAATATTCATAGTATTTATATTAAATATATCACAGTCTGCCAGATGCTACCTCAAAAAAATAGTAGCTTATTTAAAGAATCGAAACGGGAAATTTATTGCGAAAATATGAGAAAAGTTTTTATTTTTTAAAATTTATATTTATTGGTTTAAACATTTAAAAAAACAAAAAAATTAAAACGGGCCGACAAGGGAAAACTTTTTACAGCCAAAAAAAAAAAAAACACCTTTTATTGTATTTTCACCTATGACTCCTTAAGGACGAATCAAAACATTAAAAAACGTCATCTTTAAGAAATTATAAAACATTCAATTGTGTGTCGAACGAGTGAGTAAATGTAATAATTGTTTAAGAGATATGGCTAATAAACACGATCAACGAATGTTGAATTTTACTAAATTTGTCAAGAAATTAGTATAAATGCTTTTATAGCTTGGAAAATAGTTTCCTACGAGAAAAACTCATAGAATAAAAGTTGTGAGGCATCGAATTCCCAAATCAATAGGTCACTTATTCAGCTCGAAATCGGTTCTCTGCCGATGGCTGGAAATTGGTAATGAAGGTATCTGCGATTTTAAATATTTATTTATACAGTTTTATCTCATGAATAAATAGAAAAATACATATATTTCAACAGTATGAGTGTCCATTCTACTGAAATACATTTGTGTAGAGACCGGTAAATAATACAGTATAGGACGACCCTTTTTACCTCACAGTAGTGAAAAATTTTGAGAAACGAAGTGTCGAAAGAAACTTAATTTCGTAAAGAAATAGCGAATCCCGATTCGAGAGACATTAAAACTGTTAACAGCCAATTAATCCTCTCACATATTAACGTGTCCAGATGAGGAATATCCGGATTCGAGATATATAACTGGCCTACAATAAAAATGTCAGTACTCAGAGTTCACAAAATTTGATGCTCTACAACTTTGATTCTTTGAGTTTTCCCTATTTAGGAGCTCATTTCAAAGTTGCAAGGCCATTTATAGCAATTTGTCTCAGTTTTTGACAAATTTGGTAAAGATCAGCGTTGATTGAACGAGGTTTAATATCTTACCAGGCACTAGCGGATCCAGGATTTAATTTGGGGGGGGGGGAAGGGGCTTCAGCCCGAAACCTTTTTTTTTCATAAAAATAACGATAATTACTTTGGAAAAACAGAAAGAAACTAACTACCTATATGAAATGGTGTTTAAGTTATTCCTTAAGTACTTTTAAATGTAATTACACGAACAATAATACTTTAAGAGGTATTTTTAAATTTTTTTTTTCCCACAAAACATGGTTATATTTTTCCATTTTGGGGGGTGCTTCAGCCCGAAAGCCCCTCCCCCCCCTCCGTAGATCCGCCCGTGTTACCAGGTAACCAAGTTATAAAGTTTATGTACTCTTTCGACGGAAAATTTAACGTTCTTAAATTTGTTAAAGAATATATTTTTCGTTTCGATGCATCATATAGGAGTTATAGGTGAATAAAGAAAAAACTATCAAAAACATCTGACATTTTTGGCTGTATAATGTATTTCCTTGGTGGCCCGCGTTGGCAATTTTGTTTTTTACATGGATAAACCCATATATAACATTTGCTTTTCTATTCTATTATTTAAATTGTTGTATATATTGTTTGAATCTTTATTAAGTTAGTTTTTGGACAGATATGTATTTTTTTCTTTTGTAACTGTTCATTATTGTTAATCTAAGGGGACATCCTCCCAGAATAAAGTTTATTTTCTATTTCTATATACAAGTTTAAAAAAACAAAAACTTTTCTCACTTTTTTCGCAATGGATTTCCCGTTTTGATCTAAAATTAGTGGCCTAATATCTAAATCAGTCGCCATTTTGTGAAAGCAACGGTTCTGGACAGATAAAAAAGGTTCTTTTTACTCAGAATAACACACACTTTAGTAATTTATAATCAAATCTTCACCTGCGATCTGGTCGATTTTTGGGTCCTGGCTCCAGGGCTACTAGAGTTGCATTTTCCCCTTTAATAAGCTCACCCCCATCATGTCACATGATACTACTCACTCATCTTGTCAGCTAGCTCATATGATTGCCTTTGATTTCTATTAATCTTAGCTTGTTTTTCAAGTATAAATTGAAAAGTTAATTAATCTATGACTAAAATACGTTATATACTCACCTATATATATAATAAAAATGGCAACGTGTAAGTAATCTACTTCTGTTTATAGACTTGGCTTTATATTTTAAAGTCAAATAGTTCCATCTCAATTTTTGCCTAATTCTGAGTTTGCTATCATTGCTGATAAGATTTTTCTCAAATTTAGTTGGGAAGATTAAAAAAATTATATAAATATTGAAAGAGTAACTTACATTCTTTACTAAGAAGAATGGACCTTTACTGGTTCTAATTTAAATGAAAAATACACAACATATGTACTTTTTAAGATATTGAAGAAAAAAATATAATTTAATTATTCACAGACCTTTAAAATGTATTATATTGATATAAATTTTATCAACCAACATTTGTAATTGTCCTCTGAACTGAATAAAAATTGAAGTCGATAAAAAAAATTCATATTTCAACAATGGGAAAGTAATTTGTTAATTAATAATGCTTTGTATAAGTTTTTTTTTCGAACTGAGAATTTTTTCTAACTAATTATACCTATTCAGGTAACATTTGAAGATTTCTTAGACAGGCTCCCTTAATTTATAATCTATATTAAATATATATATTTTTTTTTGGCAACTCAGTCTTATGGAAAACCATAGGAAAGAATGGATTTTGTACTTGATTTTAAAAAAACGTTTAGGGTTTGTATATAAATAACAATTTTAAAGAATAATTTAAGGATAGGCAACATTTTATTATTAATAACTTAACGATGAAATATTCATCTTTCCAATCGACTTCATCTTGCAGATTTGGGATTTGACAGCCATCAGTGGAATAAATTATATAGACAATGATTATTGGTGTTGTCAATTTCAGACTTTTGATTCAATAAATTTTTAAAATAATTATTTAATTAAAATTCTGATCATTTTGAAAATAAAAAAAGTTTTAACTGTAGGTATTGATCTTCATTATTGTTAAAATCATTTCAAAGCTCTTCATGAGAGATTATTCAAGAAAAAAGGAAGTGGAAACTTCAAAATCATAATATAACAGCAGGTTAGGTCTATGAAGATTTTTCATCAGATTCAAAAAAGTAAACTCATAATTGTGGATTGATGGTTGACAGTAGTGAATAATTGAAGAAAAGGATGGTTGGGATGATCAGTCAAAATAAAAAATATTAAAAATAAATAATTATATTTATTTTTATATTTGCCGACATGAAGTTTAGGCCTTCATCAGGGCTGTTCAATCCGAGAAGCGTGGGGAAAGACTCCATAAAAAAGTAAACTCCATGACAAACATAAAAGAAAATATCAGCACAAAAATAATCTTTTGATTTGTAGAAGGTTCATACATAGATCTTGTAATTAGGTTGATCTGAAAAAGATTTAGCTTGTTTAACTACTTATAAATAATTTGTTATATCTATGCTTTCTGAAACAAATGATGCACCCATACACAAATTTTACTAAAAACTTAGGTAATTGAAGCTATGTTTTTTAAGCTTCTCCAAAATACAACATGAAAATGACTCCAAAATTAAAAAAAAAAAAAATTGTAATAAATCTTACCTTGGTTTAAAAAAATGCCGAAAACTTTAATAAAAACTGATAAAAGAAGAATTCCATTGAGTTGTTTACATGATATATGTGGCTTTTCCTTAAAATCTCGCAGATGAAATGAGAAAATAGAAACAAAAATTTAAGTAGGTATTAAAATTATTGAAAATAAAAAATATTATTATTAAATAAATAGCTATCAAAACGGCCAAATGATTATAATAAGCAGACACTGAGTCAGGCTCTAAAATGAAGATCTAGAAATAAATTAGAACTTTGGCACAAGCTAAAAAGAAGAGATTATAGATGTTGAGCCCAGCAAGAAAAAACATTCGAATTCTTTATCATCAATCTAAAAAATATGTACATATTAAGATGATGTTATATTTAAAATTTTGAAAAGTAACATCAATCCAGTTGCTGCCATAAAAACTGAAATGACATTTATTGTTACAACTTTGAGTCACTATAGTTAGAGGAAATAAAATAGAATTATCAGACGTAGTATAGTATGTTTAATGTGAAGTTAAGTATACTAATAAAATTCTTTAGACTAAATATGCTTGACCGATAACTGATACATAGATATACAAATTTCATTAATTACCAGGTGGTTAAAGAGGATAAAGACTATAATTAAAACAAAGAATAGATTTGAAGGAATTCAGCAAGTAGATCTCTATTGGAAGAAATTTAATCATTTATAAACATAAACTTTATTCCTCTTTTAATATGTATTTAATGTAATTTTTTGAACTAATTAAAGTGGGTAAGCGGTCATGCGAGAAAATACAGATTATGTATAAAATTTCTTTAGTTTTGAAAAATATACAAGTAAAAATTATGGAACAATCTTCTGCAAATAAAACAGTAAGTAAACAAAGTTTAAAAAACATAAAAGGAAGAGTCGCAATAAATTTTGTGATGAGAGAGAAAATAAAAGAATAAATTAATTTAAGTTAAATTTTTAGTTTTAAGAAATTCTTTGTAAACAATGGGTCAATTAGAACAGACTTTTTAAAACAATTGAGGACTGCTTGTTGGAATAGACTCACCCATTGTTTACAAAGAATTTCTTAAAACTAAACATTTAACTTTAATTTATTCTTTTTTTATTCGCTTATTCACTGTCTCTTCAGACAGTTGATCACGATTTTTTCTTTTGCGTTTTTTAAAACCAATAGGAGGAGTTATTGGATCTCTTTTTCCATTATTCTTCTTCTGTCTCCTTTGTTTAGATTTATTTGGCTTCTTCAACTTTAACAAAAAATCTGGAACATCGCATCCAGATTCTTTCATAACAGAAGCAATACTTCTCAAAGCAAACTTGTCTTCATTGGTAAAGTATGTTACTGCCCTACCTGATCGGCCAGCCCTTCCTGTACGACCAATACGATGAATGTATGAAATTGCTGATGGTGGGAAATCATAGTTAACAACTAATTTTACACCTTTAAAATCTATACCACGACTCATAAGTTCGGTACAAATAAGAACCCATACTTTTCCCTCTCGAAATGCACGAACAGTATTGTCTCTCTCCAACTGTGTCCTGTCAGAGTGAATCGCATCAACCATGATTCCATCTAAAATTAGTTCTTTATATAACTGTTTAGCTCTTTCCTTAGATTCCACAAAAATCAGCACAGGAGGAGGTATGCCTTTCCGGACAAGATTTCGAAATTCAAATAGCTTGCCAGATTCATTACCAACATAAACTAATTCTTGAGTAACGTTCTTAACTGTGGTATTCCTATGCCCAACTGTAACTGAAACAACATTCTTCAAATTCTTTTTGCACCAACCGGCAACTTGTGGAGTATGAGTGGCACTAAACATCGCTCTTTTAATTTCTGAGTTATTACAGCTTTTATATATTTCAGCTAACTGCTCACGAAAACCACGCATTCCTGTTTCAAATAATTTATCAGACTCATCAACAATTAACCATTCAACATTAGTCAATGATAGAATTTGATTTTCTTGTTTTAAAAGATAAATTAGTCTATTTGGGGTGCTGATGAGTATATCGAACTTCGTCGAAAAGTTTGGCCCAAATTTGTCTTGCTTAACTTTCGTGATTATGTGTGGTTTCAAACCTGTGTTTTCAGTCAGACGAATGCATTCTCTAAATGTCTGCTTGGCTAACTCTCTCGTGGGACAGAGGATCAACGCTCTAAAGCCTTTTCGACTTGATTTTTTTAAACTACTAAGGACTGGAATCAAGAACGCAACTGTTTTACCAGAGCCCGTAGGGGCACAGGCTAATATTTCTCTATCACTAAGCATTGCTGGAATTGCTTGCATCTGAATTGGAGTTGGCTCATTATACCCACATGCTATAACATTGCTAATGATTTGTTGGCTTACCTCAAAAGAGTCTAATTCATGAAAACTTCGAATAGGGGGAGGTACATCAATACCTTTAACAGCTATGCTGTGATCATTTCTAAATCTTGAAACTTCATCTTCTAAATTAAAATTATAATCGACCTTCTTAGTAGTTTCCTCGCTATCTTCTTTTATTTTATCCTTGTCCGGTAGCTTACTTAGGAAATTATTCCCAGGTTTAGGTTTTCTCTCAGGTTTAGGTTTTCTCCCAGGTTTAGAACTACTACATGCCCTCATTAGCTTATGATATATACTCCAAAAATCCATGTTGAACCAGTAACTGCACTAGACTGAAACCTCCACGACACCATGTGCTCTCCTACATTGTTTATTATGACAGTGTTGTCATACCGAAGTGGCGGCCATCTTGGTTCGGCGGGAAACAATATTTGAATAGCTTTTCGTTGTTATTTAAATTTAAATAGTGCCTATTTCAACAAACTATTAACTAGAATGGTTTAGAAGATCGAATTGGAGTTGGGCAAGTTTAATGAGGCCTATAAGTCGCTCATATCATGCTAAAATGGATAATAAAATCAAAGAACCATATTTTGTTTTATTATATTTGACTTATTTATCCAATAAACTTCGGCCTATTTGAATTCCATTTTATTCATCTAGACCTTGATTTGGAAAATATCACAAAAAAAAAAAAATTACATAATTATTATAACAGTGAAGATTGACTTTCATTAGACTATCATTTGGAAACTTAAGGAACTCATTTCAAAGTCAACAACCATGAAAATATTTTTCTTCTTAAAACTCTCCTGTATAAAAACAAAACATAGATCGTAAATTTTCATTATCAAAATACTGATTTAAAATATAATTTACATTAAGGGAGAAAAGGGAACTTTCGGGCTGAAGCCCCTTCTCCCGAAATAGTAAAATATAACCACGTTTTCTATAAAAATATTGAAAAATTATCTCTTAAAGTATTATCGTTGGTGTAATTACATATTGAGTAAAAGCAGCAATTGCTGACAATGTACCAATACCTGACATAATCGAATAAGGTGAATAATAAAATTTCGGGAACCTTCTAGAACTCGAACTCTGTTTCATATATTTTTAGTTTCTATATTTTCTCCTGGTATATTTGTCTGCTTTGCTTTAGCCTTACAGAAAATTCCAACCGAAATAATTATTGTGAAATTAGGAAGGTCTCTTGGTATCCATTTAGTGTCCCAGGAACAACTATCTGTCAGTAAGAGCACCATATCTTAGGTTTGCCTTTTTCTCTTTAACCACTAGCGGATCTAGGATTTAATTTTGGGGAGGCTTCAGCCGGAAAAATTTTTTTTCCATATACATAACGATAATTAATTTGAAAAAAAAAATAGAAAGAAATTAACTACCTATATGAAATGGTGTTTAAGTGGTTATTGAAGTTCTATTAAATGTTATTAAACGAACAAGAATACTTCAACAGATAGTTTTTAATATATTTTTCTGTAATGCATGATTATATTATCATTATATTATTATAAATTTATCGAGAAATGCAAGAAGCTAGTTTTATAATAAGTTAAAGGTAATTTTTGTTAATCTTAAAAAGAAGAATATGAAATTTCACTTAATTATATCCTTGTTTTCATCTCTGTCAGTTATAGGAACATTCCAAATCAAACAGTGTCAGCTAATGGTACAACAAAACTATTCGCTTAATTTTCAATTTTTAGATGAATGTTTCATGGATTTGAAATATGTCTCCTCACTTGGTAAGGTGAGAAATACAGTGGGCAAAGAATTATTCGTAAATCCCGTTTTGTTTTTTTTGCCAAAATTATTCGCTATAATTTTTTTAACTTGAAACAATGGCAGATTTCAATTATAAACTTCGTTTTGCGTTAATTCTATGTAATGCCAAAATTTAAAATCTCATACATTTTTATAAAATTAATATCACAATAATTTTTTCACAAAAGAAGTATTCCTACACTAGAGCAAATGTTAATAACAAGATCATTTATATTATTAAAACAGTGTTTTAACGTTCTATTTATAACCCATTGCTCTAGAAGATTAAAGGCTAAAACTACAGGAGAAATGGCTTGTTTAGTTCAGTACTAACAAATATTTCTTCGGCAATGGGTCGTAGGTCTAAATAATTGAGTTCTCTTAAAGATGACATAAAAACATTTTCAATAGGGTTTAAGTTTGCGGTATATTGGAAAAAAGTTCTGACTACCTCATACGAGAGTAATATACATTATAAAAGAATTTAAATCCAAATCAGTGAACAATAAACTAGTTAGAAAACTCTTGTTGACAGTGAGAAAATCTCGTGAAATTGTGCTTAAAGTGGCAAAAAAATCCAAAGTAAGTGCTCAAGAGGTTTCGTCTCACATCGCGTCAGATTATGGAAAATCTGTAATACCCAAAACCATAAGGAATCGGCTATAGAGATATAGCGGTAAAAAAATACCTTTTGTACAGGAAATAAATAGAAAAAAACGATCGGAGTTTGCCCGAGAACATGTAAGTAACCTGAACTTGTTTTGGAAAAAGTGTTGTTTAAAAAAAAAATTTTTTTTTAATATATATATGTTTGTTGGAAAAAAGGATAGGCGTTTGAACCCCGAAATCTTGAGCCCACAGTGAAGCTTGGAAGGAGCAGTGCCATGATTTGGAGCTACATTGGTGTCAAATGAGTTGGTGAACTAGCCTTTATTGACGGGATTACGAATGCTGAGAAATATGTGAATGTGTTGCGATGCAATTTAAATAAAAGTGTGTGAAACTTAGGAATGGAGAATACATATATGTTTCAGCAGGACAACGATTCCTAGCACATGGCCTTAAAACCAAATAATGGTTGCTGTATAACTCAGGCAGATCTATAAAAATCTTTAAAATGAAAAAAAAAATCTTTTGGGCTGGAGACACCCCCCACAATGAGAGGATCTTAATTCAACTGAAAATTTATGGGCACTTCTGGAATTACAAATCTGAAAATGTCCTTGTTCCTCTCGGAATGATTTAATAAACAATCTTAAAAAAGCTTGGGAAGAAATTGGACCAGAGACCCTGAGGCTCGTGGAACCGATGACAAGGAGACTCAATACTTTGATAAACATGAAAGGATACCCTAAAAAATATAAAAATTAATTGAGATTGATATTTATTATATTTTCTTTGGGATAGTTAAATGTAAGAATATTTTTTTTGCGCTTCATTTTTGAAAAGTTAAAACATTTTACTTTTTTGTACAATTAATGCAAAATGAAGTTTCTAATTGTTATCTATAGTTACTTTATGTTGAAAACATAAATAAAAAGATTTTTGGCTAAAACATATGTTGTATGAATACTTTTTTTGGCCATTGTAGCTCTAAAAGACGGAATCCATGAAAAATATAATAACATCAATATATTTTTTTTTTATTCATTGATATTTACAACTGTATTATAAAAAAATACAACTAGTAAATTTCCATACAGTAATAATACAATCACATGAAAACGCTTGTTGAGAAACTATCCATTGGTAGCTCTCTAATAATATATTTACATAAGTAGACCACGAGGCCATCTTCTTTTCAGAGGCCTCGGAGGGAACATCAATATTTAAGTTTTAAACGGAAAAGTTCAAAGAAATTTCCTTAAGCATTTCAGGTATTGTTACATTTACCCTAACAGGATTTCAAGAATCACTTAAAAACCATTCTATAGGTGGTTAGTTTGTTTTTTTCTCTTTTGTCCAAAGTAATTATCATTACATATTTGAAAAAATCTACGTGTTTCTGCATTTTTATTTTATTTCTCCTTTGTTAACTTATCAAATTCTTTCAAAAGTTATATTTAGCATTTTTTCGTAACTCTGAATAATGGGAAATAATTAACTTTCTAAATTAAACCATATTAAGGGTACTTTAGAGGAAGACGTATATGAACATTGGGCATTTAAGCCCTGTAAAGTGACATCAATGGGGATAAGACCTATTTGATATTAAAGACCATTTAATTATACAATGATACACCGAGTTTAATCAAAATTGTTAGAGCCGTTTTTGAGGAAACTGTGTTTCAGCGTTGATATAAAGTGGCACTTCCGGTTAGCCGATTATAAGGAAAAAGTTGCCGTCACAACTAAGGCATATACCTATCTTAAATACGTGATATCAGTTTCATAGGACTTTTCGTTTTTGAGCTAGACTGTTAACATACAGACACACAGACCATTTTTCGGGACTCTGTCATTTCGACTCAGGGTACCTCTAAACGTATAAACCCGTCGAAAACTCAGATTCAAAAATTTTCTCGATCGCAATACTTACACTTACTATATATTTACATATATACGTAAGTGAAAGTAAAAAAAAAAGCTTTCAGGCTGAAGCCTTTCCCAAAATTAATCCCTGAATCTCCTAGTGAATTCATGTGATTAAGGAAAAAAATAGATAATGATAATGAGATCCTGAAGATGGATAAAAACCTCGTAATGGTGTAATATTTTTAATAATTGGTAATTGGTTGACTGTCGTGGATAATGAAGAGAAGAATAGTTGGGGTGCTCAGTCAAAAAAGGATAATAATATTTTTATTATTCGTAATATTTTTATCTTCGTATAATATTTTTATTTTAACAAAAAATACAACGTTTAGACATTTCACAAACTATGGGACAAACAAATATATAAATGGTTATTTCACTTTGCTAGTATTTTTGTTTTTAATATTTACTATCTTCGTCGTAAACCAATGACTTCCTGTCCTTCAGTATCCTTTAACAACACCTCACTTATACCTGTTGAACAAATCCGTTACCTAGGACTCCATCTGGACAAACGTCTAACTTGGAATCCTCATACCAGACTGAAACGACAAGAAACCGCTCGACGTTTCCGACTACTTCAACACTTACTAGACAAACGCTCTAACCTTCCAATCAATTATAAAAGACTGATTTACATGACTATAATAAGGCCTATTTGGACTTACGGGGTTGAGCTATGGGGCTCCACCAAGCCTTTAAATTCCTCTCGCATACAGTCCTTGCAATCCAAAATCCTTCGTAAAATCCTCAATGCTCCTTACTTTGTTACAAATAAAATTATCCATAATGACCTTAATGTTCCTTATGTATCAGATTTGGCCCAATCCAGATATCTGTCCTTCCATAATAAACTTCATAACCATCCCAACCCTCTTGTCTCTAACCTTGCTTCCTATTCGATTCCTGATAAACCTCCGAGGCGTCTGAAAAGAAGATGGCCACGTGATCTTCTAATATAGACATATTATTAGAGTGCTACCAATGGGTAGTTTCTCAACATGTGTTCCATGTCTTTATACCAATGTGCAAATTTACTAGATGTATTTTTTGTATACAGTTGTAAATATCATTTAAAATAAAAAAAAAAAAAAATATTTACTATCTGCTATCAGTATCAAGAGAAATAAAATGAATAATTTCGTTTAGCAATAATGTCTCTGTTAATTAAGTTAGATATTTGTGTATCCCATAATTTGTTAAATGTCTTGACACACCTTCAAGAACTAAGGTGGAAAACGCTGATCAAGAGCCATCTATTGGGAACCAGAGGAAATAAGTAAGGCGATGGTAACGCTATCTGTTACATTTAATGTTTTACCGCTACGTGAGTGAAAAAATAAGGAGGGAGGTTTATTGTGTTTCTGGTTTGTTGAAGTTATCACCGAGCGGTGAAGAAGGTTTTTGTTAGTAAATGGTTACGCTTTTAAGTTTTTGTCAGTTTATCTTTTAGCAACTTACTCCGAAAAACATCGGATAGAGCTAAATTTGGACCATATATTGGTATGCCATCTTTATTGTTTACCACATTGACATATGCTTGATAACGATTAGAAAAAATACTTTGATTGCTTTCAATACATTAATCAGTTCAAACATTTTTAGAGAATTTGAATCTCATTTAAGTCCATACTACAATATTTTCTCCATTTTGGAAAAACAAACAATAAACTTTTTTAATTTCTGTATTTTTATTTTTGAAATATTTTGTTTTGTAAGTGTTCTGATAACACTATGATATTTTCCAAATTCTATGTTCATTAATTGTTTAAAATATATATGTTACTCATTAAATATGAACATGTAATGTAATGTTATATTTGTCCTTAGTTCTATATATTTTAAATTTACCATTACAATTTATAATAATTACAAGTTATGGATATCAGTTTCATTTTATTATTATATATTTTTAAATAGTATAACTCTGTGTCTAACTGCGTATAATTTGAGAAGCATTTGAAGGAGAACTAAGTGATTACTTACAATGTTCTAATTTGGTTAAAGTATTTTAAGGTTAAACACCATTTTTAACTTTATGCTTATTAATATTGGTTAATACTTTGAGATCAAGAAAAGCAATAAAGTAATTTTACCATTTTGCGATTATCTAAACTACATTTCTTTTATATCCCCAAAGTCTTGAAATGAAAACAAGATTGAATTTCAAAGTATTACCGATTGTGTTGTTTTTTTCAATTTATCTCAAGCAAACATATATTTTTAAAATTGTTTTATCTAAGAAAAGATTGCTTAGTTACAGAGTTCTCTATCATTACTGGAAACCAATTTCTAAAAAAATCTACTTGCATATGGCTTGTTAGGTTTACAACCACTGGTCATTTTATACTGTGCAACTTGTAAATTAGTTGCAAATTTAAGGTTGAGCTACACATGTTTGAGATTATCTCTAGCAATGCGCTAAAATCTGCTGAAACATACTTTTCATATATAGGTTGTGTTTGAACCTTCCGAATGTAGTAAGTAGGTTTGGTTGTTGGAAATTTAAGTCAATCCTAAAAGACGAGACACCTTATGTAGTTAGCTTAATTTTCTTTGTCTCATTAAATTTATAAAATATGTTTATTTCATAACCTTTCTCTTGAGTCTCTCATGAACTTTATATTTTTCAGTTTGAAATTGTTTGTAACTTTTCTTCATTCAGGCTACTTTATTGGGTCATAATGAGAACAATAGAGTGGCTACTTTTAAATTATCGAAACTCCATTTTCGTAACTTTAGATTAACTGGTATCTATGATCTCCCTTATCAATTTATAATATAAAATGAGACTAATAAGTATAAGTTCTTCAGTTTAGAATACTCAGTGTAATTATATCTCAAATCACATATATGAATTTGGCAAATGGAATCTATTAGCTTTAATTAATCCCACTAGGTATTGTCATTTCTTATAAATTAAATCTACTTTATTTTAAATAAATGTTTTAATTTGAATTTATTTGCTGTAATGATGTGTGTTGCAATTAATTGCTCTTTCTCTTTATATTTTTCTTTGCGACTCTAGTACTGTCATGTTTTAACAAATAATATAATATTATAAATATCGTGTATTTTTGCTGTGATAAGAAGTTAATGGTATTGTAGGTTATGATTCAATTGTATTTAACTCGTTCTTTCTGGAGAGTTGTTTCTAGAGGTACAACCAAACCTTTTTTAACCAGGGTGGGAAGGTTGGATTCATTGCGTGGATCCGCCACAAAATAAATTTTAACCAGCTCAGGCCGGATTCGAACCCATTGTCATTAGAGTTTATAATGTTAAAGTTAGCTCTTTAACACGCTCGGTCATCACAACCTCAGGTATTTTGGACCTCAAAAAATATCTTGCATAGTATAGATTATCCGTATATTAGAATTATATCAGGTAACATATAATATAGCCTACTAGAGTATCAATATCACTGATATTGATTATGTTATTTCTATTTAACTGATAAGGTTGGAAAGGTTATTTTTAAGAAATCATAGCGAAACATTAGTGGCCAGTTAATGTACTGTTGCTGAACTACTATACATTAAATTGTGTATGATTTTTTATTTTATATTATAGCACCTCAACTTTAAATATTGTCAATCAACTTGTTGTTGATACTTCCTACCAAATCTTCATTTCAACTGATTTTTCCTTTCTATAACTATTAATTTGTAATAAAAATATTCCAAGAGAACTTCATTGCTTCTGTTGTCACATCTGTCTCAGAATGCTATTAATATATATAAAATGTTTGTACCAGACTGTAGTAGGTGCTTGTTTCATAATCATTGTGGTTTTTAAAACTTTCAGTAAAATACATCTCATGAATTTCATTTGTTTCAGTTGATCATCATCAAAACACAAGATGTCTGTATTCCTTCTCAATCCTGACAATGAAGTGATCATAGACTCTCCATCCGACAATGATTCTGGAAATGGTCAAACTCTTACCGATGCCTCTCAAGCTCTCCTTAACTTCTGGCCTCAAATGACTGAAGAAATCAGACAAATAGAAAATATGGATGTGAGATGTCAAGCATTACCTCTTGCACGAATAAAAAAAATCATGAAATTGGATGAAGATGTCAAAATGATATCTGCAGAGGCTCCTGTTCTTTTTGCCAAAGCTGCTGAATTATTCATACAGGAGCTAACTTTGAGATCTTGGGTACATACTGAAGATAACAAACGAAGGACTCTTCAGCGAAATGATATAGCAATGGCTATAACAAAGTATGATCAGTTTGATTTCCTTATAGATATAGTGCCTAGGGAGGAAGCGAGGCCTGGTGGGCGACCCCCAGTATCTCTAGATCAAGTTCAATATTATCTGCAGTTGAACCAGAGTGGTGGGCAGCAGCCTCAGGATGAAGAAGAGGAGGAGCGACCTGCAGCTTTACAACTTTTGCAGCAACAGATGACAGTGGCTGAGGGCAAGCCAGTAACGACTGGTGGCGGTATTCAAGTGCTACAACAAATTGTTGGTCCCAATGGAGAAGTGCAGCATGTACCTGTCCAAGTACCTGATCATGCGATGGAATTGATTCGCGTCCAAGGTGCTGGTGGTACCCCAATCATGCTTTCACACCCTCAGTTAATACAAGTCAGGCAACAAAATCCAGTTTATGTGCAAGCGCCGAACCCTTCACAAAACTAGCAATTAAAAAAACTTAAGAAATCATAGATTTCTTTATTGATAATTGCATTGGACTGATACAGATTTAGTCTGTAAGCTTTAAAAAAACATCTGTATAAAGAATGTACATATTTTATTAATAGAACATTCCTTTAGAAATTCCTGATTATGAAGAGTTTAAATATTGCTGTATTATTTGATGAACATACATTTAACTTGAACTCTATAAAATGAAATTAAAAATCAATTTTGGTTAATTATGTTGAAATCATTGTTGTAATGACGGTAGATAGTCCTCCCTAATCCTTTTCTTAAAATAAGTGAAATATTTAAGTATATAGAAGTAATTGCTTCTTACAACACAGCATTGTAAATCAGTTTCCTAATAATTTTGTTTGTATAATATTTTTGCTGCAGTTGTTAAATATTGTAAATTAGGTGGTGTACGAAGAAAAGAAACTTTCAGAAGAAACATTCTATAATATTTAGGTTATTGTTTATGCTTAATTAACTATTTTAAGTTTTATATTTTATTTATTAGTTTAATTAAAATATGTTAAATTGAAGACCTGTTGAATTCGGTCATTAACCTGATCTAAGATTATATCTTATGATTTTATTTTAATTTTTGTACCAAATTATCATATTTCTCTTGTATATTATAAAACATTTGTGTTACCATTCGTAATTTTATTATTCTGCACAATGCATACTACGTATGTATAAAGAATTTTCATTTTAATCGACTCATTAAAACTCAATTTTATAATTAATCTTTTTTTCTGTAAAAGTATATATATACTGTAAAGTAACTGTTTATGTTAAAGTTAGATGATAATTGTACTATAAAAGCAATAATTTAATCTTGATTTAAAAATTATAGTTTTAGACTATTTGGTTATTTCTTGTTTTATTATTACCTATTTAAATCAAATATAAATTAATGTTTCTCTTTCCATTTTTTTTTTTCAAGAATTGTATTTTGATTTTTGTAATAAATTAAGTGCAAGGTTTTTAAACTTGAAGTAGGATGTTCTCAAGCTCTGGGTCCTGGTTTTGAGTCTTGCTGTGGTAGATAATTATTTATTCCTTTGCACTAGACGTGGATAGATCCTGAGTTAAGGAAACCCTCCTGGGGCACATCAAGCCTCTTAAAGTGGGTATATATATACCCATATATATATATATATATATATATATATCTTTATTAAATAATTGATTGAGTGTGATCACAGTCAAATCATCTTTCACAAAAAAATAGTATTTTCTTAAAAAATATTGAACCCTTAATCATCATAACTTATGGTGGTCAGTTTTTTTTTATTGATTCTTTTTTTTTAACTTTCGATTATTGTGAAAACGTTTTATTAAATAAAAAAAAGTAGAGGTCCAGTTGGTAAAGCGTTGTTCGATCTACTGCAATACCGAGATTCGATTCCAGCTATTTCATATAATTTGTTTTCTGTCCTATTATCCTTGAGTGGGCTCTAGGGTCAGAAGACAGGAATCTTATTAAGTTGAAGCCATTCACCAGTCATGGAGTGTAATCCTAATATCACCAAAAATCATTCTTGAAGTCATCTGTCAATCGAGTGTATGTATTTATAAAGTATTGAACCACAAAGCAGGGCCAAAACTGGATCGGCCAGTTGCTCCAGGCATTAGAATTTGTAGTGAGACAAATTTCACACAAAATTTTATTTTTAGGCTACGTTTGTTTCGAATGCCAGAAGACAGAATAACAAGGCTCATGAGACACAGGTGGAAGGTAGAAGACCTGAGAAAGTGGAATAAATGAAGCATTTGACCAGAGAGGAATGGATTAGACGTGAAGAAAGCAATGTGTCCAAAAAAGAGACTTATGGGTCGTGCTTCATAGACGGAAGCCTTATACTGCTTAGTGGTAGAAAGTAAAGCTACATGAGGTATATATTTTCAGGTTAAAAAGATATTTGTTTCAGATTTTTTCCCTGAATTGAGTTAATATTGTAAGATGATGAGTTTTATTTCAAAATATATTATTTTAAATACTTTTATGAAATTGTGTTTTCAGTTATTCTGTGGAAGGATGGCAGTATTAAGTTTGTTATCTCTTAAAATAGTACTTTTTCCAGCACTGCCGGAAATCCTTCATTGGTTGTATTGTTACAGGTTTTTTGTATTTTTTCAAAAAAATTTATTAATCAGGAGAAATTAGTTTTATATTCACTATTTCAAGTTTGTATTATAATTTTTAAATTCTTTTCTTCTTTTATACTCTTACATTTATCATTTTTCTGATTTAATTCTTTACGCTTATTACTATTATCTTATTTATTTACTCTTATTACCATTATTTTATTTATTTATTCTTATAACTATTCTATTGTTTCTGTTATTCTTTGCTCTTACTACTCTTACACTTGTATCTTTATCATTTATCTGATAATATTTTTTTAATTTTTAGCTTTGATGATAATTCATGTGTTTGGGTTGAAAATTCGTTCGTTAAAGAAATTTCGACTGCAAATCCTGACAATTTCTTTCTTATAATTTTAATAGAGAACTACTTACTCCTCTTTATTTGTAATTTATGTTGATCAACAAGACTTAAAATTTATTATTTTTGGAAGCTGTCACTTGCTTTATCGTTTCCTAACTTAACAGTAACAGTACAATCAAAACAGTTACAAAAACGGTAGAATCATTTATCTAAGTAATTTTTAAGTAGCTAACATAGGTGCAAATACAGACTTACCTTTAATATTAGGTACACATTTGTATGTAATATATCTTTTAAATATAGTGACTTTTTTTACTTGATAGACAGATAGATAGAAGCGTTTATTTGTTTATAAAGTACATAATATCATTTTTTTTCTTTACATATAATTAAACGATTTATCGACAATGAACTTATGTTCGTCTGTCGGGGTGTTCGCCTAGTTTATTCGTGGAGATATCTTATCTTTTAAGAATTAACAGTTTCAATATAACAAGATCCCAATTGCAATATTATCTACTTAATTTTAAAAAAATCTCAATTTTAACTAAAAATTCTTTCTAAATATAAATATACCTACATAATGTAGAAATATACATGAACATAAACTTAGATACCTTTTATTCTAAATTATATTCTCTCACTAATTCACATCTAAAATTAGTGGATGTTTTTAAGTACAAATAAAGATTTCTGTAGTTTGGGCCATTTAAAATTTTTGTTTCGATAAAATTTAGTTGATGCATACATAAAAATGCTATTCTGAACTCTTTTAGTATTGGACATACCGATATAAAATGAAAGTTATCTTCCGGTGCATTCATATTGCACAAAGAACAATTTTCCCTTTTATCCTGCCACGGCTGGTAAATTAGATTGAAGAGTTTCCCTCTCGCTTTAAAAATTAGTCGAATGAAATATAAATTGTAATCATTCTTCTGAAAATACCCACAATCATATTCTAATTTGGCAGAAATTTTATGATATTCTGCTGATCTTGCCCTCTTAATGTAATCATTCATTTTCTCTTGCTTTAGTTTTTCAAGTAAAATGTCTTTATGTGTTTTCAACTCCTTGAGCAGATCTTTTTTTATGAAAGAAATGTCACATTTTGTTCCTATCCATCTCAGTGCCCTCATCCATGTTTATATTCTTTTCAATGACTAATTCAGCTATGACATGCGGGAGTCGTTGGTGACCCATTTCCAACACTTTTTTTATATACTCGATGTGCAATATTAAAGTATAAATACAGAAATTATCAAATTCCGTTTCGAGATCTAGCATGTAGTTAGGAGTATTATCTGGGAGCTCAATTATCTTTTTTAGAAAATACCTCTGTGGTTGTTCAATCTCCTCGAACTCTTGGTAGCCCCAAAACTGTGCTCCATAACATATCACAGCCCTCACCGTAGAGTTGAAGATTAATGTCTTTTGTTTTACAGATACCCGCTCATTTAATATAATCTTCGACCACATCATATTAAGTGCATTTCTTGTTATTCGTAGCTTTTCCCTAAAATGATCTGGCAAAGATAAATTATATTTTATAGTAACTCCCAAGTACTTATAATTTTCTACTTTGTCTATTGGATTTCCATCATATGTCCATTTTAATTTCCTATCAGTTGTCCATTTCCTTGACATATTATTATTTTTGATTTTTCAAGAATTATTTCCAGACTCCACATTTTGCAATTAAATCTATTTATCATTTCTTGCAATATCAATGGGTTGTCCGAAATCAAAACCACATCATCCGCATACATGAGCACATTAAGCTTCTTCCCACCTATTAATAGTCCACCTGCAACCCATTCCACTAAATCATTAATAAAAATGGAGAAAATAAGTGGGCTAAGCAAGCAACCTTGTCTTAGGCCTATCTCTGCATTGTAAGATCATGAAAGTCCATCTTTTGTCCATAATGTAATCGTTTTAATTTCATATAGGCTTCGTAAAATTCTTATGGCTTTTGTTGTGAGATCGGTAGTATTTAATTTATAAAAAAGTTATTCTCGGTCTATCTTGTCAAACGCCACCTTAAAATCTACAAAAAATAAATAAACAGGCTGATCATTTTGAAATTTACAACTTATTATTCTGAACAGAATAAACAGATTATCGTGAGTGGAGTATCCTGGCCTGAATCCAGTTTGATTTTCGTGCATAACATTATTATCTGATGCCCATTTTGACATTCTGTTCAGTAATATTCCGAAAAATATTTTTGATATACTGTTTTGGAGTGATATACCTCTGTAATTGTGCACATTATTTAAATCTCTTTTTTTGAATATAGGTAATATAATAAATTCTTTAAAACATCTAGGTACTTTTTCATTCTCAAATATACTGTTGAATACTTGAAGTATCTTTTCGATGAAGCTGGGTGTCGCATTTTTATAAAACTCATAACTTATGCGATCCATCCCTGTTGTTTTATTATTTTTACATTTGTGAATCACTGCCATTGTTTCCTCAATAGTAATTTTTTTTCCATGTGATCGTATTCAATCATAATCTCCTCATAAGCTATCGGGTCAGAATGAGGAGGAGAGGTCAGTAGTTGAGCAAAATGAGTCGCCATTTCTTGTGATTTTATTTGAGATCCACACTAACAAACACGTTGCCTGAAGAACTCAATTGCCTTCCAGAAATCACTTGAATCTTTTGCCTCAATTAGTTTTATTATTTTAGTAAAATATCCATTTTTTTTAGATATACAAATTGCTTTAAATTTTGTATTAGCAATCAAATAATTTTTTTTTGTTATAAGTGATTTGCTTTTTCTGAATAATTTTAAAAGCGTTCAATCTTGCACATTCCCAATCAAACCAATGATTGTGAGCAACTCCACATTTATTTTCTGTTATTTTTGGAGAAGCCGTTTGTATATAACTAATCAGATTATCTAGATTTTTCTCTAGATTTCCGGTATCGATATTCAGTTTTTCTGATGTTTGTTCTAATTTTGTCTTATATTTATCTTTCTTTTTTTCATCCCATTTTAGTTTTGGTGGCAAAGATATAAATTCTTTTTTCGTATTTATTTTTTCACAGATAAGAACATCTAGTTTTAATAGAAGAGGCATGTGAACCGAGAATGTTTCATTTAAAATGATAAACTGGTCTACATACTTTAAGCAATCTATCGACGACATACACAAATCTATTACCGATTCTCCGTTGGTTAAAATATAAGTCAGTTCTCCGTTCTCATCTCCTTTGGTTCTTCCATTTAGTATCACAAGTCCATGA